CTGCCTTATTCTTTCATAGCAACACTTTCATGAGAACAAACCCAGTCTCTTGAAAACTACCTAAGTACTTTTCAAGAGCAGTGCTCCAGTAACCTAAATACCTCCCAGTAGGCCCCACCTCTTAAAGGTCCCACTATGTCCCCCCATTACCACAGCACATGAGCTCTTGAGGGATAAACCACATGCAAACCATAGGAACAGGAAATTTCCTTTTCTTGTCTTACTGCGTTAGCCAGGACTTTGAGTACAGTACTGAAAAGGTGTGGTGAGAGGGGAGATTCTTCCCTTGTACTTGATCTTAGGGGGAAGTTGAAGAAATTTCCCTCTATATCTACTTTGTGGACAAGTTTTTTTTTGTTTTTTTTTAATCATGAATGGATGTTAGAGTTTTTTAAGCACTTTTTCTCTATCTACTTGATAATATGATTTCTTCTTTAGCCTATCGATGTGGTGCATTACATTAATTGATATTTGACTGCTGAATCAGCCCTGTATATCTAGGATAAATCCCACTTTTTACACTGTTGAATGGAATTAATTAGGTAATTCTTTGTTGAGGATTTTAAAAATCAACATTTATGGGAGTAATTAGTCTGTGGTTTTACCTTCTTTAATGTCTTTGCCTTTGTTTGGATGATGCTGGCCTCATGGAATGAGTTAGGAAGTATTCCCTCTGCTTCTGTTTTCTGGAACAGGTTGTAGAGGATTGGTGTACTTTCTTCATTAAATGCTTGATAGAATTCCTCATTATTTTCTCCAGCGTTCCCAATATCCAATCCACTTTAAATCCTTTTCACTAGAGTATTTCCTGGAATATCTTCAGAAATACATTTTCCCACATTCCTCTTTCCCCTTGACCCAGCCCCAATCACTGTTCTGACTAAATTCTTCACTCCCACCTCTATAGTGGCTCACCTCTTAAGTTGTGAGTTTCTTAAAGCAATAGACTGTATATCTTGTACACTGTTTTGTCTCCAACCCCAAACATGGTGCCTAGAAGATAGTATAGGCTCAGTTTATATTAGTTGACTCAGTCACCTAATGTTTTTGAGTAGTTCTCAAAAGTTTATAAAGCACTTTGTGTTCATTATCTTTTTTTAAAATCTTGTTATACACTAAGTAACAGTATCCTCATATTTCTAGTGAGAAAAGTGCCACTCAGGAATAGTCGGTGACTTGCCTTAGTTTATTCAGTTATTAAATTAGAACAGCTGGGACATTAACCCAGATCTTCTAACTTCTAGTTTCAGGTCTTTTGTTCCATACCTAACATGAGTCAAGGTCTTTTCATATTCATCTTTATCAGGTTCCTTAGGGAGGAAATAGAGAGTGACAGTTATTTAGATGCTTAGATAAATTTTTAAAAGTTAATTTTCCAAACGAGAGGTTCATATGGATATCTGGGACCTCAATTATATAAGTTTCTCTCATGAATATTAGTTTATAAGTCAGGGATAATTTTTAGGGGATCTATATTTTTGTCATGCACATTCTGTCTTCATTCCATTACAAACGTAATTCTTGGTTTCTAAGAAGCTGTTTATGGTTCTTACAGAGGGAATGAAAGCAAGCAAGTTAGGGCATCACTCATATCTCAAACTCATGCTCATTTAGTAAATATTCTCATTTTAAAACAAATCACAAACCTACATTACCTACACAATGCAATAAGTACCAGAAAACAAACAGTAGGAAAAAAAACCAGCAATCACCTTTTTCTAGTGTGCCTTTGGAAAGTTTTATGTGGGGTACCAAATGTGCCCTTTTTCATAATTTACAAACAAGTTAAAGAGAAAACTCACCAGTTACTCATTGCTAAAGAATGTAGTTGACACCTTTGGAAAATAATTTGAAGAGTTAATAGATTGTGTACATGCTGTGCTAGAAGCCTTGAGCTCACTTTTGCATTCTATAATTTATATGTTGTCCCAGCATGAGGTGGTTTTCATGGTTTTGCTTTTAAATTATGTATATTAAAGTAAAATTACTGATATAAATATAGAAATGACCTATAAAGATTGCTTCTTTTTCCTAGAGTTGAACCTTTTAAGACATCTTTATTCTCCATCTTGCCATAAAAACATGCCAGAGCTAGTTACTTAATATTGGATGCATATATTATAGTAGATATTATAATAGATTTCTTTACAGTAAGATATTACACTGTCCATTGATACTTTCAGGAGTAGTGTATTGACTGGGAGCTTGACCAAAGCATAATGAAATAAAGTTGGAAAAGCATTAACATGGTTCTGTTTTTATGCAAGGAAAACAGAAGAAGAAATTGTCTGACAGGTGTATGACCTGAGTTGTTTTTCTAGGAAGGACTAGTCTGAGATATTCATAATTTTGTCTTTTGTAAGTACAGTAGTCCTCACATGTCACCCTTATATCTTTAGCTTAGAGATGTAATCTCTAGCCGTGAAGCAACAATTTTCTATTAAGCTTACATGACTTGTTCAAGCCTTACTCATAAATTTATTAATAAGTACACAGTACACAGTTATTGTGTGCCTTCCATTTCTTCAGCATAACTTCAGCAGCTGAAAGGACCAAGGGAACCTATGGCAGACAGCTCTGTGCTGCTGTAAGCAAGTTCACCATAGTGCAAACTAGTCTCTCTTAGAAACTGCACTGCTTGGTCTTCATGACCCATCAGTGAGCCCACATGAGAAAAATAAGCCAATCCTGAGACTGTTCTGTAAGTTTTTCCTGCTTCCGTAACCTTTTATGTTTCTGAACTCATAGTTACTGTTACAACACCAAAATCTAACAGCCTTATTCCCTACGAAGTAGCCAGACACATTACCCATAGTTTCCAACAATCACTCGTTTATTTGGTTACCCATATTTTCCACTAAAAATTAAGTTTAATGGTTTATGTGTCTGTAGTTGGAAGGCCAGTATAAACATGGAAGACCCTTAAAAACATGGTTTCTGAAGTACCTAGCTTCAAATCCCAGCTCATCTGCTTAATACTTTTCGTGACTTATACTTTACTTAACCAATCTAGGCCTCAATATTTTCATTCATTTAAGTTAAAGGAGTAGGCCTTGGTAGTACACACTTGTAATCCCAGCACTCTTGGGAGGCTGAGGTAGGAGGATCACAAGTTTGAGCCCAACCTAAGCATCTTAGTTACTTGGTGAGACCCTTTCACAAAATAAAAAAGGGCTAAGCACATAGCTCAGTGTGAAGGTCCTGAGTTCAATCCCTAGTACTACAAAAAAAAAAAAAAAGTTGAAATTTAGTGACATGGTATACACAGTTACCCTCAGTATCTGGGGGATTGGTTCCAGGACCTCTGGAGGACACCAAAACCTGTGTTCAGGTCCCTTATATAATATGGTGAAGATTTTTGCGGCACCTGTATACATCCTTCTTTATACTTTAGTCACCTCTGGATGACTTTTAACACCTACTGCAATGTAATGCTATGTGAATAGTTGTGATATTATATTGTTTATGGAATAATTACAAGGCAAAAAGTTCGTACATGTCTTGTACAAATGCACTCTTTTCCTAATATTTTCAGTTTGCTGTGGGTAGAATTCGTAGTTGGAGAACACGCAGATACAGAAGGCTGATTGTATAAAGTGCTTAGCACTGTACTTGGCATACACTACCTATTTAGTAAATAGCAGCTACTTTTAGCATTATAATTGGATTCCTCTCTGACATGGAAAATTCATCTATGTCACACATAACTTCATATAAAAGTAAAGTAATAGACTTAGCATCCTCATTTATTAGCAGTTTCTAAAATTATAATTATCAATCTAGCTGAAGGTACAGTAAAATGAGCACACAGATACGGTGATGGAGATAAAAACTGCATAATAAACTTTTGAAAGAGCAATTTGGCAATGTATATTGATAGCCACAAAATGTTCTTTGAGTCTATAATTCCCTCTCTAGAAACCTCCTGTTAAAAAAAGTGTAAGAATTCAGACAAAGATTTATACCCACTAGTATTTGATAATATGTGGGGTTTGAGCAAAAGGAAAATGTAAATGCTTACCAGCAGAGAATGACTAAATAAACCGTAGTATTTTCATATGATTCATACCCTGCAGCCACTCCGAAATATTTGATGATATGGGAAAGTACTCATGATACACCATTAAGTTAAAAAAAAAAACAGATATAAACATATTATGTAAAATACTCAAATTTTGTATACTAAGAAATCATCCTTTTCTTTCCTCCAGAAATAAGACTAGAAGAATATGTATAACATGCCAACAGTTTTTATCTCTGGATAGTTAGATTTCAGTTTTTGGTTTTTGTGGGGGTTTCCATTTTGTTTTTGTGTGGGCTGTTGTTTGTTTTTGATACACTTAGTGTTTTACAAATCATACATAGTAAGCAAGTTACTTGGCACACCTAAGGCAAAAAAGCAGAGGAGAAAAGATCTGGGATCTAGGTATCTGTGGTTTATCAGGAGTGACTTTATGGAAGAAGCTTTAAAAAACTGTAAGCAGTGTTTTTAAATCTTTCTTGTCTGCAAAACTGAAGGAATTTAGTTGATTTGGGCCAGGGAGTGGCTAAACGTGGATCACAAAAGAAACTTGTTGGACAGATTCTGGTATTCCTGAGTACACTGGCTGTAATGTAGCTTATAAGAAAGAACTCAAGGGATAATTGATAAATTTAATATAAAGCAGACTTGAATGAAGTTGAATTAGACTTATAAAGAAGATTATTAAGGAAGAGGCTTAGATCACCTAAATTTTTCAAAATGTTTGAGGGCTGGGGATTTAACTCAGTGGCGCCGCGCCTGGCTGGCAAGTGCAAGGTCCTGAGTTCCATCCCCAGTACCAAAAAAAGAAATGTTTGAGGTGTTCAGAAATTCATATGCATTTCCAGTGGAAAGTTCATGGAAGAATAAATATCTTGTGACTATAAATAATACTTCAGTATTTTTCAGTGCTTTATATCTTACAGTAATTTTAAAGTACCAAGAATCATTAACAAAATTACGATTTTTTTAAAATTAGGATCCAGTTTATGGGAAAGGAAAACTTGGAGAAATCCAGGGCCTTATTCTGGGAATGTTAGATACCTTTAACTATGAACAGGTAAGTAAACTATTTATTATATCTAAGACTGCCTTAAGGCAGAAAAAAGCTATATATTTTTTACTTTGCTTTACTTGCTCTCCCCTTTTTGCTTCTGTATTTTTTATTTTAAAATCACCACCTATTTACAGAAAGTTAAAGAGATTACAATATATATGTATTTTCCCTATTTTTAAATTTCTCTTGATCTTAATTCACACACACACACACACACACACACACACACACACACACACCAGAATATGGAACTGCATTCAGATTCCAGATTCATTTTATTATTTTTTATTCATTGGCAATGAGACCAGTATCTTCTTTCCAAAATGACAGTATGAGAAACTTTCTGGGAAACATAATTGATTACAAAGCTATTACCCATCAAAAGGAAGGGTCACCATGAATATACAAAATTGTAAAATAAAACTGGGCATTCTTTTGTTTGTTTTTTTATTTTTAAATTTTATTTTAATGTAATACAAATAGACATTTAAAAAGAAAATATAAAAACAGTTCCATGAAAAAATAATTTTTCATATCAAAAATAATTAGAGAATAACAATGGTAAATACACTGTGTATCATGATCTTAAAAGAATATATTTTCAATTGCTAATCTCTCAACTCATTTCCTAATAATACTATGCCTTTTTTGCATAAAATAATTTAATTATTAACTAAATATCTCACACTTGGTTTAATTTTGAACCATTCCTATTTCATAATATCTATTATATATTTTGATCCTTAGCATTTTTTTTTTTGGTACTGGGGATCGAACTTGGGTCCTTGAGCTTGCACAGCAGGTGGCAAAACCACTGAGCTAAATCCCCGGCCCCCTTAGCATTTTTTAAAGTATTCTGAAATAGTTCATTGCCACTAACCAAAAATGGTTGTAATCTTCCCTTAACTCAAAATTACTTTTAACTTTAATTCTCAGTTTCTGTTTGTGGAACTTATTTGTGCCAGTTTGATATAAAGATTTTTTTCCTTAGGAAAAGTATCATTTAGGCATGTTTGATACAGTATCTACTGTTTTAAGAATTTGAGAGAAAGAAGAAAAAGAAAAAAATGGGAGATAGACCCTTCCTTGGGTATTGTAAAAGTTGGAGTTCTGCTAAGTATACATAGTCCAGTAAAGTTTACTGCCCTACAAGCACCAGATACCAGGGTGCAGAAGTAAAGCTGAGTGCAAGGTAGAAAATTTTTGCCAACTATGAATCTTTACAAGAGGAGGAAAAGATGGCATTGATTGGAAAAAACTAGAAATAGACGATTAAGACTAAGTCTTGGGCCGGGGATTTAGCTCAGTGGTTCTGCCGCCTGCCTCACAAGCACAAGGTCCCAAGTTCAATCCCCGGTACCAAAAAAAAAAAAAGACAGTTTTGCATTACAGGCAAAGTTAAAGAACTAACCTCAATCAGGGAGGATGGGCAGTACCGAACTCTGTCTTCTCCTTTGGGTTGCACAGAAAAGAACCTGATTGCACAGCCCAGTGATATATATGATTGTTAAGAAATAGTTATAGCACGCAAACAATACCTTAGCAGCACAGCGTCTTAGAATCACTTAATGTGGTAGCCGTGAAGATGTCTTTATGTAACTTACTGACAGATGTGAAAGTCTTGGGTAGATTCAGATCACTTGTATGTGCTGATCAGGAAAATGTGATCTCTGCCCAAGGGAGATGAAAACTAAGTAATGACCATTAGCCTTTCTGGTCAAAGGTTACTTGAAACGTTGCCATGAATGCAGTTTCAATAAAAAATCAGGGATCCAGATGCTTCTTTGTTACAGCAGTCTGAGCCATCCAGACAGAAGTTATTATATAAATGTAATAAATAGATTTGAGCTTATCTGCTCATTTGAAAGTCATCAGTACTGAGTTAAAATACAGAATGGCAGAGCACACATTTCTTAGTAAGAACTAGTGACAGACTTGAAAACCCTAATATACATGTTACTCTGAACATTAATATTAACAATTTAAGTTTGTGAGGTTGTATGTTTATCAACTTTGTAGTATATTAATTTCAGTTGTTTGCAGTTAAAAAATAAGTCCTATTCTCCATCTCTGCCTTTTTAAAAATAACCATTTGTTTGTTTGTTTGTTTGGTGTGGTTTTTCATAGACCCTGCTGGAAACAACCACCAGCCTTCTCAACCAAGATCTCCATTGGTCATTGTGTAACCTAAGAGCTTCTGTCACTAGAGGACTGAATCCCAAACAGGATTATTGCTCTATATGTTTGCAACAGTACAAGAGACGCCAAGAAATGGCAGATGAAATTATTGTCTTTAGGTAAGAGAGGGAAGGAAATGTTATCTGCAGGTGTGTGTACATATATGGTGTTGCCAAGTGGGAATACAGCTGGACTTATAGTCCCGGGCAGAGATATAAGCAGTAAACTATACAGGCAAAGTTCCTCCCCTGTGGTTCTTATTCTGCATGGGGAGGACAAGAGGTTAGGGTGCTCAGATAGTAAGTACAGAATGATAAAAGCTGTGAAGAAAAATGAAACACAGAGCAGGGACTGGATGGATGAGGTGTTCTGGATAAGAATTCTCTTTTAAAAAGACATAGTGAAGGAAGACATCTTTGCGGGGGTGACATTTGGGCAGAATGAGAGAGGTATGAGGGACAGGTGCTGAGAGGCATTTGATCCAGAATGTATTTTAAGGGTGGGACTAACTCACTGGTGCACTGGATACAGAGTGTGAGGGGGAAATGCAGTCTTTGGCCTGAGTAACTGGGTGAATGTGGTCCCCTTGGCTTAGATGAGGAGAAACAGTGTAAGGGACTGGGGCGATCGTTAGCTTTGTCTTACAGTGGTTAGGTTGGAGGGGGCTGTTAGATATCCATGTTGGGTTGTCTGGTGAACAGTCAGAAACCTGGAGACCTCTTGGGGCTGGAAATAGCAATTACCAGCATATCAGTGATATTTAAGCCATGATAGAAAGAGGGAAGTCTAGTGCAGAGGAGACAAGGCTGTTCTCAGGAGCAAAGACAGTTCTGTGATACACAGATAGAAGCGATATACCGGGGGCTCTGGAGCCAAACTTCTTGAATTCAAATCTTGACTATGCCAGCTGTGAGACTTTGAGTTAACTAATCTTTTCATATATTAGTTTCTTCATCTGTAAATTGAAATGGTAATAGTACCTACATCTTAGGGTTGTGTGGAGATTAAATAAGCTTATGTAAGGCACTCTGAACAGTACCTGGCATGAGGAAGCACTGTGTAAATGTTAGCTATGTCAGAAGATTGGTAGATTTGGAGGTTCAAGGGGAAGCAGCTCTCATCACACAGAGAACCCATTCATTCAACAGGAATATATTTGGCACCTGCTGTATCCCAAGTACTGTTTGAGGACCTAGGAGATAATATGAACAAACACAGAAAGTGCCCTTGGGGACCCTCCAGTTATGACCAGCCTGACATACCAACAACTTGGGCTACAACTAGTATTTTAGTTTTAACTTATGACCAGAGTCTTGAGTTATGAGCTGAATGCCAGCACTTGTGCTTCCAGATGGTCTCAGATACAGATTTAATCCTTCAAGAGCTCTGGAGGGAACATTAAAACATCCTGCCTTGTATGGGGTTGAGAAATCCTGGGCCGATGTCTCTCTAAGGACTCTGAGATCTCCCTGTATACAGGAGAGAGACTTTGAAGGCTGTGTAGAGGAGCCTGAGCCTTCAACTGGCCAACTTGAGATACAACTAGTCCTTGCGAATGAATAGAGTTCATAAGTCAAGGGTCCACTATATATTCTAGGGGCAGGATCAGACAATGAAGAAATAAATAAGTAACGTACCAGATAGCAACAACTACTATGGAAAAAAAAATCAAAGATATTAAGGGACATATGGAAGATTTGGAGTCTGGATATATTATATGGAGAGAATGCCTCACTGTTAAAATAACTTATGAACAATTTAGAAAATTAATAGAAAATTAAAAATTAACAAAAATGTAATTATAGTTACACTCAAAAATAAAACATGGTATAGAGGAAAGAGAATGAGAACTACTAATTTATGAAGAGTAGTCAGAGAAGCCTCATTGTTTAAGTGACATTTGAGTAACAGTAAGAGACCTAAGGAAGTGGCCATGCAGTTTCAGGGGACAGTAGCCCAGGCAGAGCAGCAGTGAGTGCAGAGGCAGTGTGGCAGCACCATTCCTAGCACACTTGAGGAGCAGCGAGTGAGTGGCTGGTGGGCCTGAGCACAAAGAAAGAATGGGAAATGACAAGAGAGAACTTCAGAGGAGGAGCAGAGGCCAAATCATGTAGGAACTACATTATTATCAGAAGTTAGGTTTCTGCTCGGAGATGAGGACCCATTGAGTGGCTTTGGAGGGTAAGAATGACATGATCTAAATTATAGCTTAAAGGTCAGTCTGCCTGCTGTTGGGAATGGACTGTGGACAGACAAAGGAGAAAGGAGAGTGACCAGTCAGGCTATTTCAGTAGACCATATGAGAGAGAGCAGAAAAGTAAGTGGAAGGATTCTGAACATATTCTGAAGGTAGAGCTGCTGGGGTTTGCTTATTGTTTGGATGTGGAATGTGAAAGAGGATAGTCAAGGATGACTCCAAAGTTTTGGGCCTGAGACACTGAGGAATGTAATTGTCACTTATTGAGAAGGTTGGATGTAAATGTGCAGTGAAGATGGGGTAGGGTAGAAAAGAAGCTTGGTTTTGGTCATGTCACATTTACCATTCCTATTAGATATCCAGAGTTCTTGAGGAAATAAGACAGGGCTTAGGACAGAGCTCAGGGCTGAAGGTATAAATTTGGTAATCGTGAGCATTTAGGTGGTATCTTAAGGCTTTGGAATTGGAAATAATCGCTACAAGAGCAGAGGTGGGTAGAGAAAAGAAGAGTGTAGAAGAGACAGGTTGTATACAGAATGAAAAAGTGTAGAGAAAAGAAAGAGTATAAAGGTTATAGTAGAGGAAAGGATTGATTTCTGGGCTAGTCCAACATTTCCAATTGGAGAAAGGGGGAGAAGCCAGTAAAGATAACTGAGAGTTATACTCAGTATTCGGCTTCTGGGAGGCTCAGTAATTTCATGTAAACCATAGCGACTTTCTTCATAGTACTGTAGGAATTTACACTAGCAATGACTTTTTTCTCAGTGTTTCATCAAGTCATAACGCTTGCATTGAGTTTGACGAGGCAGACCACTCATGTTATTATCAAGCTACTTACGTAATTATGATTTTTTTCCAATTGCCTTTTTATTTCACACTCCCTAAAAACACTGCCAAAATTTTATAGCTTAGGGAACGAACAGAAGTTCAACTTATCCTCCAGGTGGTTTGTAGTCAGAACACTGTGATTCTCTTCCTCCTCACAACGTAAGGATACAGATATATGAGTGAGGAGTTTTAAAGAGAGGACAGCAACAAGTACATTCCTTTCCTGTTCCTTGCCCTGTTCAACCAACAAGACATTGCAGCTTGTTAGACACCTTTACTGCATAAAGTACACTCTTAGCATGGTTTGTGGTTCTTATGATAATGAAAAGTGTGAACTGCCTTCATTTCACAGCTGTGGCCATTTGTATCATTCATTCTGTCTACAAAGCAAGGAATGCACTGTAGAAATTGAGGCCCAAACAAGATGGACATGCTACAAATGCAGCTCGAGTAACAAAGTGGGAAAACTAAGTGAAAATTCATCAGAAATTAAAAGAGGAAGGATAACTTCAACACAGGTAAGTCTTATTTCAGTGGCAAGATGGATGCAGTCTTTTCTTGCCAGTGTTTTAAGTCCTGGCCTCATTTTCTTCCGGACCTGTGGATCTCAGAAAATTTACCTGGTGGATATTGAATGCGTGGGATCTCTGCTCAGTCCTGTTTAGTGTTTGAAGAGCCTCTCCTCTCTGCTTGGCACTGGAAGACAAGACATTGTCTGACTTTGAGGGCATGAAATTTAGTTGAACAGAGAGGATGTGGACATGAGTCTACTTCTAAGAACCTTGACCAAGTAACTGGTCAGCACATGCAGCTGAGTACTTGCATGTACTAATGAGTGCCTGCATACCTGAGAATGTGGAATCAGCGCTTTTACAGGCCTGATGATAGACAGGTGTATACCCGGATACTCTGTGCATGATCTTCTCAATTAGATAACTGGCTTGAAAGAACTTAACATAGTATTCAGAAGTTTTCCACTGTGTTTGGAGTCTAACAGACTAGATTATTTTCATTTATTTTACAGTACTTTTTAAAAGGCAGTGCAGCCGAGTTTGAAGTCTACTGCTTAGCACCTTCTTAGGAGAACACAACTTGGCAACATGAAGGGCTCAGTATGAAGAGATTAGTAGGACTCTGACTTGATGGTTGTATTGTGCTCAGCTATGCTGCTTCTTTTGGGCAGTAGCACATTTGCTGCATCTCACCCATTTCTACACTATCCTGTAGTTGGCCATTGCATCGCATAGTGAAAAGGTGGACCTGTTACTCTCATCTTTCATCATCTTATATCATAAGCAGGGCCAGGGAAGACCCATGACTGGCGGCTGTCCCAGAGAACAGATGGTTGGTGCACTCCAGTGGTGGGCATTCCCTTTGTATGTTCACCCATTACGTGTTGAACAGTGTGCCAGGCACTGTGTTAGGTGCTAGGGATGTAATGGTAGCCAAGATAAACATGTGGAACTTACAGTCAGTGAAATGGTACACAGGTGTTGAATATGGTACTCCCACGTTCTCTCTGATTCCAAATGTGTGATGTCTTTTCCAACACCAATTCTGAAAGCATTTCTGACAATTCTCTTGTTATGGACAAGTGAGTTCGAACGATAGAGATGCACCACACTCTGTGCCAGATTTGAGCCTGTTTATTATAGCCAGCGGCCAAGAGGGGCTAGCACCCAGAAAGGTTCCTCAGCAATGGGAAGTGGTTTGATTTCTCCTTTTAAATCATGCTTTCAGCTGGGGAGGCCTCAGGGGAGAGCAAGCGGAATCTTACAGAAGCAGAATCATGCCAGGTTAGTGGGGGGTTACAAGGAAGTTTCACACACACTAGGTGAGCTACAAAACATCCTGCAACTGCAGCAAGTTTATTGCCAAGCAGGATGTGGGGTTTTGGTTGCTTTATTTAAGTGCAGGCACTTTGTTTAAGCACAGGTACAAAATGGCATTGAGGCACAAGATGGAGTCGGGTTGGTTATTACACTCTGAACACCAGCTGAGTGTCCAGCAGTTCAGTTCTCAAACTGACTACCTGGAGTTAGAGATTTCATGGTTTATGGGTTCAGTCCTGTAAGACTACTCTCATGTCAGATGACACTCACATATAGGATGCCACTTTTGCCCAGCCCAACTACAAATTCAGGGGTCCCGAGGACCCCCTCCCCATACTTGATAATTCACTAGTATAACTCACAGAACTCAGGAAAGTACTCATGTACATTTACAATTTACTATAAAGGGTGCAACGTGGGAGCAGCAAATGGAAGCGATCCATAGGAAAGGCTCAGGTGGGCATGAGGAGTAGCAGACATTCCATCCCCTCTCAGGGCTCACACTTTCCTGGCACTATCAGTGTCTCCACCGCCCCTGAAGCACCCCAAACCCCATTATGTAGAGGTTTCATCATGTGCCCATGTTTGAGTCACTGTGACTGAACTCAGTCTCCAGCCCTTCTCCCTACTCAGGTCAGGGATGGGGCTGAAAGTTTGAAACCTCTACTCATGGCTTGGTCCTTCTGGCAGCCAGCCCTCATTCTAAAGTTGTCTGGGGATCCCTAGCCAGCAGTCATCTCATTTGAAAACAAAAAAAGACTCATCACCGAGGAGATTCCAAGGCTTTGAAGAGCTCTGTGCCAGGAACCTGGGACCAGGGCCAAGTATATATATTTTTGTTACACTCCAAGTACTTACAGATGAACTGTGCTGTCAGAGTGCATAGTGAGTATGCCCAAACCAGACTTCAGGGATCATGGAAGGCTTTCTGGAACTTTCATGTTAGCTGCCCCTGAGAGAAAAAAGGAGTGAGCAGGACAAGTTTAGGTGCAAGACTGGGCAAAAGAAAGAGCGTTGCAGACAGACAGAACAGTCTGTGCAACAAGTAGTGTCACTGCTCTGAAGCAGCGAGCAGCGTGGAACAGGAAGTTGAGCATGATTGAGTCTCGAGGGCAGGCAGAAGAGAGTGCACAAGATGAGGCTAGGGAGGGAAGCAGGGGCCTTATTAATTATTTTGATGTTTGTGCTAAAAGAACAGGGAAGACACAAAAAGGTTTTAAGGAAGAGGTGATAAGATCTTATCAGAATCTCTTGGATTATTTTCAGAATAGTGCAGTACATTTAAAGGAACACTCTAATGCAGAAAAATGAACTGAAATGGAAACAAGAGTGGATATAGGGAGAGCAGGGATTATTGAGGTCTTCAGAAGAGAGAAGTGGTAACTGGTACTAGAATGGAAGAAGTAGGAATGGAGAACATACTTATTTGAGATGTGTTTGGAACGAACACAAACATTAGCAATCAACATGGTCCCTGTTTACCTCACTGGCCTCATCTGATACCACTCCCAACCTCCAGGTCCAGCCAGGTTCAACTTCCTACTTCCATGCTGTCTCCTGATTCACAGCAGAGATGATATGTATAGGAAATAGGATTATCACAACTTGATGATAAATTAATTTGTTGAATGGAAGAGGAAAGACCAAGGGAGGAGTCAAAAAAAGCGCCCAGATTTCTTTCTTTTTTTTTTTTTTTGTACCGGAGATCGAACTCGGGACCTTGAACTTGCAAGGCAGGTACCAGAACCACTAAGCTAAATCCCTGGCCCCAGATTTCTTTATTAAGCAACTACACTATGGTGGTATTCTCTACTCAGACAGCAGTAAACAAAGAACAGATTTGGGAGTAGGACGGAGAATTCATTGCTGGAGTTAGAGATGACTGCAGGACGTTAAAGATAGGCAGTGTGGTTTCTAGACTGAAAATTTCATTAATTAATCCTCAAAAGCACTTCCTTATTTGCACTCAGGAAAGGAAAACAGTCCTGTGATTTCCAGCATATTCTAGATTAAATCCAAATGCAGGTAGGTGAACTTTTTAAAATGTGGATACTTAAGGCATTACATTTCGGGACTCTATAGTTTTTTTAATCTCTCTCAGTTATGTTCCATTCAATAACTAACTTATAATTACTTACGTCTTATTGCTTGGATATTACCAATTAGATTTTTTTTCTTCATACCCAGCACTAAGGCAGACTTTTTTCCTTCTTAAAAAGTAATTTATAAATCATAAAATTCACCTTCTGTGAATTTTGACAACCACCTCCACAGTCAGGGTATAGGGCACTATTCCTACCTCCTTCAAAAGCCTCCCATATCTCTTAGTGGTCAGCTTCCCCTCCTTAACCCTCACCCCGGCACCACTGATCTATTTTGAGTTAATTCTTAGAGACGATGTGCATGTCCACTTAATTGCCTTTTACTCTATTCAAAAATCAATTTACCATGTGTATGTGAGTTTATTTCTAAACTTTCTATTCTCTTCCACTGATCTATGTATCAGTCTTTTCTCCAGTATTGTAGCTTTATAGAAAATCAGGTAGTGTGAATCCTTCGATTTTGTTCTTCTTTTGTAATGTTTAACCATTCTACTTCTGTCGGCTTTCTTTAAAGGGCTGGGGGTGTAGCTTAGTGGTAGAGCACTTGCCTTGCATGTGGGAGACCCTAGGTTCAAGCTCCACTAGGCGAGCAGAGAGAAAGAGGGAGAGAGGGGGAAGGAGAAAGGGAGGGACAGACGGGCGGTCGGACAGACAGAATGAACCATAGAGGGTCAATACTTGCACACAAATTCATAGGACTCCCTGTTTTCCTGCTATCAGCTTATACTGTTTTTGTCATTCTGGCTTTATTAAAACCTGGTAAGGCTGATTTTTAAAACATATCTGTGCCATATTGACAGTGCTAATTAAGATGTCTCACCAATGTGTGAACCATTCACATTTCAATTATAAAAAAATTTTTAAATGAAAATATTAATTCTGTACTATGATGGCTTTCATTAAACTTTATTCCATGAAATCTTTAATTTGCTCTTAATTTCCTTTGAAAATCTATCAGCACTATTAGGATCTTTCACAGCACAGAGGAGACTCCAAGGAGGCCCCCAGTGACTCAGAAGTCCAGCTGACATGGCCAGTCAGCTGTTCCCTGTTCCCACTACACCAGGACATAGGGCACACATTTGAAGCATCTCTTGGGCTTTGTAACATGATCCTTCTATCAAATAGCTTTTTATTTCATTTTTTTCCAAGACTTACAATAATAGCCTTCTTATTTCAACAATTTCTGATTCTACCTCAATATGTTGCAAGTTATCCTCGGAACTGAGGCCTTGGCGGATGAAGCCCTTTTGTTGTTCCCACCTCACTTCCTTTTTCATCACTAGTCAATATTACAGCTAGCAAGTGGCATATCAGTTGCCTGCCAACAAGTTTACCAGTTATAATGGGAGTTGTTTCCTCAGAATAAAGGCTTTAATTTTGTACAAATAGGAGAAATGACCCAAGTGACTTTCCTTCCCTTTCTCCCCCCACAAACCCCCTAGACTTACAGCAGCTCAGTCTGAAACTTTCAAGACTGCAGAATAGACCTGGCAAATCTATCTTATTCTTTTTGCTTCCTCTACATATTACCCACAGATGAAATACACAAGAGAAACTAATTGCAGCTGAAGCATTCAAGGT